CTGATTCTATAATTTTATTAATATTTATATTATATTTTCTATTAACTTGTTTATCAATATATTTTTTATGGCTTGTATCTGTTATTCTATTTATGCGTGTTCAGGCCCCACAACACTTTTTTTTTTAAATTTTTATATTTATTCATTTTCATTTCTAAAATACTCATATTACATCCATTTACCCCCCCCTTATAAAGACATACACAAAACCGTTCAGTGGTATCCAAAACCATTAATTATTATCCCTTTCTATCTTTATTACCATTTACCCCCCCCACCTTTCTAACACCCCACTCCCACCAACTGATGAACCACACACCCCACGCCACAAGCAAAATCAACCCACTCTGCACTTTTTCTCTATAACATCTTTTTTTTTTTTTTTTTTTTTTTTTTTTTTTTTTTTCTTTTTTTTTTTTTTTTCCTAAGTAATGTATACTTTCACATATCCCACTCTATATACTTCAATATATTTCCACCTTCGGACACAAAATCTTCCCATTTTCCCCCTCACCTACTGTGATTATAACCCCATCTTCGTCTTTTTTGCATATAATACAGTTTCTCCATCCTACATACCTGCGTTCACTCTTTCCACCAAATCTCTCTTTCTCGGTCACTTCTGAGCTACTTCTATATATGTAAAAGTGTTCTAACAACTAACTTTATAATAATAACTGTGATAGTCCGATTCAATGTCAGGGCTCCCAGGTGTGACTCAGAGGGCTGTCGTGGCTGCGACGACAGGGAAAACGCAGGACCTCAGATATGTTATAAACTCAATATTAATTTATTTAAACAACTAACAATACAAAACATAAACGCAGTGCAATTACTCAACCATTAATACTGATGCAAGCCAAAACCAAAAACCAACACTACCTCAGATAACCGCAGTACATACCAAGGCAAGCGTCGTCATGGCAGGGCCAGGTTCCAATATCAATAGGGCAGGTTAGGTACAGGGGGAGCAAAGCGGAGATTGGTCGGGGTCACAGGCCAGCTTCAGCAGGTAAGCAAAAGCAGCGTAGTACAGAGGGGTCAGGCCAGAAGGGATGGTTCAGGGTCACAAGCCAGGGATCAGAGCAGGAGAAGTCAGCAGCGGTCAGAAAAACAGGATGCAGGACAGAAACAGGATACAGGGGCCAGGACAAACACAACACCCGGAGGCAGGAGTCTGTTGGGGTGGGTGGCATCCCTTAAAATACCCCAGGCATAATCAGTTCCAGGTGTTAGCTGGCTGCAAAGTTGAGTCTCTGATTTGCTGGGAGCATGTCCGCTGGCAGCCCCTGGTACTGCAGAATCAAAAGGCAGGTTGAGTCCCACCTTATTGCTGGCCAGTCCATTCTGACAGTACCCCCCCCCTCAAGGAGCTCGGCCTCAGGACGCTCCAACAGTCCTAGCTGGGAAAAAATGTTCCACCGCCCGGGTCTGGTAAACTGGCAGGGATATCAAAGACTGGCACACCGGGCAGGACTCCGGGGCAGTGGTACACCGGGCAGAGGCACTCACTGGGCTCGGACTACGGGCAGAGGCACACAGGGCTGGACTCAGGGCAGAGGCACACCGGGCTGGATCTCCGGGGTTGCAGAGGCACACCGGGCTGGACTCCGGGGCAGAGGCCACACGGGCTGGACTCCAGGGGCAGAGGCACACCGGGCTGGACTCCGGGGCAGAGGCACACCGGGCTGGACCTCCGGGGCAGAGGCACACCGGGCCTGGACTCCGGAGGCAGAGGCACACCGGGTCTGGATCCGGGGCAGAGGGGCACACCGGGCTGGAGCTCCGGGGCAGAGGCACACCGGGGCTGGACTCGGGGCAGAGGCACACCGGGCTGGACGTCCGGGCAGAGGCACACGGGCTGGACTCCGGGCAGAGGCACACCGGGCTGGACTTACCGGGCAGAGGCAACACCGGGCTGGACTCCGGGCTCAGAGGCACCACCGGGGTGGACTCCGGGCAGGGCAGAGGGCACATGGGTTGGACTCCGGGCAGAGGCACATCGGGCAGGACCTCCGGGCAGAGGCACATCGGGCAGGACTCTGGGCAGAGGACACATCGGGACTACAAGGCGAAGCAGCAAGCAGCGGGCCACCAGGCAGAGCTGCAGGCCACCGGGCCCCACGGGCGGGGGCGGCAGGCACCGGGCCCCCGGGCGGGACGGGGCGACAGGCATCGGGCCCCCAGGCGGGGCGACAGGCATCGGGCCCCCAGGTTATTGGGGCGACAGGCCATCGGGCCCCCCAGGCCAGAGCGCGGGGTGCCGGAACCCCCAGGCGGAGCCTACAGGTCTCAGCCGCCTACTCAGGGCGGCGACAAAAGTGAGCGGCGGGGCCGGACCCCCAGATGGAGCGACTCAGGTCCTCGGGCCCACAGGCGGATTAGCGGCGGGCGCCGGACCCCCAGATGGAGCGACCAGGTCTCGGGCCCTCAGGCGGTGCACAGCAACAGGTCTCAGGCCCCCAGACAAGCGGGGGGCACCGAAGTCACCAGGCACGACAGTGGGCACCGAGTCGTCTGGCAAGACTGCGGGCACCGAGTCAACTGGCCCGGAACAGCGGGCATCGAGTCAACTGGCGGAACTGCGGGCACCGAGTCGTCTGGCAAGAGACATGCGGGCACCGAGTCGTCTGGCAAGACTGTGGGCACCGAGTCGTCTGGCAAGACTGCGGGCACCGTGAGTCGTTCTGGCAAGACAGCGGGCACCGAGCCAACTGGCGGGAACAGCAGGCCTTCGCGTCGTCTGGCAAGAGCTGCGGGCACCGTGTCGGTGTCTGGCAAGACTGCGGGGCACCGCCCCGTCGTCTGGCGGAACAGGCGTGGCATCGAGTCACAATGGCAAGATGCGGGCCACCGAGTCGTCTGGCAAGACTGAGGGCACCGTTGGTCGACTGGCGGAAACAGCGGGCACCGAGTCGTCCTGGCAATGGACTGCGGGCACCGAGCCAACTGGCGGAACAGCAGGCTTCGAGTCGTCTGGCAAATGACTGCGGGCACCGAGTCGTCTGGCAAGACTCGACGGGGCACCGAGTCGTTGGCAAGACTGCGGGCACCGAGTCGTCTGGCAAGACCTGCAGGGCCCGAGTCGTCTGGCAAGCCGGGCACCGAGTCGTCTGGCAAGACTGCGGGCACGAGCCAACTGGCGGTAACAGCAGGCTTCGAGTGTCGTCTGGCAAGACTGCGGGCACCCCCGAGTCGTCTGGCGGAACAGCGGGCACGAGTCAACAGGCACGACAGTGGGCACCGGGTTCATTCAGGTATCGGATTGTCTGGGCTCGACAGCGGGCATCGGGTCACCAGGTATGACAGCGGGCACTGGGTCACCAGGCACAGGTCATTTGGCTTGCCAAGCGTGGGCACCGCGTCATGCATGGCAAGGCAGTGGGCACCGGGTCCACCAGGTATGACAGCGGGCTCTGAGTACAATTGGCACGACAGCGCGGGCACTGGATCAGGTACGGATCATCTGGATCAACAGCGGGGCATCGAGTCAACTGGACTAATAGGATCGTCGGGCTGGATCAGTTCATCATGCTGGTAGCCCGGATCAGGCTGAGTAGAGGCTTCAGGCTGAGTGACTTCAGGCTGAGTAGAGGGCCCCCACCCCTTCAGGCTGAGTAGAGGCCTTCAGGGATGAAGAGAGGCAATCAGGCTGAAGAGAGCCATCAGGCTGGAAGAGAGAGGCATCCGGCTGAAGAGAGGCATCCGGCTGAAGAGAGGCATCCGGCTGAAGAGAGGCATCCGGCTGAAGAGAGGCTTCAGGCTGAAGTAGAGGCTTCAGGCTCTGAGTAGAGGCTTCAGGCTGAGTCACGGAAGGCAGGTTTACACCAGGTTTGGATTCTGGGCAGGATGGTATTGGTTGGAAGAATTTTCGCTTTTTTTCTGGATTTTAACTACCTGGAGCCCACTGCAAGTAAACGCAGGTCTGCAAATTAATGGAGCAGCTGGAGACAGAGAAAAACTGGAGGATGGAACAGGAGAGGGAGCCCCTGTTGCTACAGAGGGCTTTTTTACCAGGGTTAAAGGCAGGATAGTGCAGCGAGTGAGTGGGAACAGGGTACTGACATGCCGGTAGCATAGCCAAGTATACTGGGCCTGTAACTGGAGGAAGCTGGTGGGATACAGGGAGTAGACGTTAGAAGCAGTGACTGGGTGCAACAAGGTCCTGTCCATGTCTTGCAGTAGGGGTTTGAACAAAATTGCTGAGCTTACACAAAGCCTGTTGGTCAATGACTGCACTGCGTTTATTACAATCTCTTAGGGTCTGTGGTGAACATGTGGAATAATGCTCCCGAAAGTAACCCACATCTACTCGCTCTAATAACCACACCAGTGGGGACTTATACCTGGTCTGCACTAAATGGTGGCAAAAAATTCATCCTGCATTCGGGGGAACCAGATGAACCAACTCAGCACAAACCTCAATCAAAGGCTGCACCTCAGAGAACTCTGTGCCTGATTCTACTGGGACATGAGCGGAGCCGTATACATTCTAGTAGTTGATCCCTGGGATACTTCCTTCAGAGTTTGATAAGCATACTCCCTGTCATCAAACACTAGCAGATATAAATACAAACCCCCTCATCCAGATCCTTCTTCCCAGCAACAAGCCAAGATGGCTTCCTCTTGGCAGCCACTTTGGGTCAGGATTGGCCTCTGGTGTAATGTCAGGGCTCTCCAGGTGTGACCAGAGGTGTGTGGCTGACGCAGGGAAACGCAGGAGACCTCAGATATGTTAATAAACACATATAATTTATTAATTAACTAACAATACAAACATAAAACGCAGTGCAATACTAAAACATAATACAGTGGCAACCAACACCAAACCAACCACCCACAGGATAACAAGTCCATACAAGCAAGCGTCGTCAGGACTAGGCCCAGGCGATCAATATCGCAATAGGGCAGGTAGGTTACTGGGGGAGCAAGCGGAGATTGGTCGGGGTCACACGGCCAGGTTCAGCTGGTAGCAAGCAGACGTAGTACAGAGGGTCAGGCAGAGGGGGCATGGTCAGGGTCACAAGCCAGGCGTCAGAAGCAGGAGAAGTCAGCAAGCGGTTCAGAAACAGATGCAGGACCAGAAACAGGGATACAGGGCCCTGGGACAATAACACAACACCAAGGCAGAGTCTCCCCCCCCTGTGGGTCTGGCCATCCCTTAAATTACACCCCGAGCATAATCAGTTCCAGGTGTTAGCTGGCTGCAAAGTTGAGTCTCTGATTGCTGGGAGCATCCGCTGGCAAGCCCTGGTACTGCAGATCATAAGGCAGGTGAGTCCCACCATTGCTGGCCAGTCCATTCCTGACAATCAATCAGTCCATCAAACAGTTATTAACTCTCACTCTCTATCCTATAATATCAAAGTTCAAGATGTCAGAATTTCTGTCTAACGATCTCCCATGTGCATTGTACCTCAAAAAAAAAGGAAATAATATATAGTGCATTATCCCTGTATATATATAAACTTAATTCATCTCCCACAATCCAGTGAGCCAAATAGTGATAATGGTTGAATAAAACGCGTTGAAAATAGTGAAATAATCAGTGACGAAAACACTGTGGTGTGTGAATGCAGCCCTTCAATCCCGCACACAGAAAGATCATAATTGCAAAAACTGGTGCTGCACTTCTATTCATAGTAAGGGTTACCCTTACCACACATTTCAGAAAAACACACATGCTATATATCAAATCCACACAGCTTTCTCTGGATGAATGATCTCCACAATCCTCCTGGATTGCTCTGATCCACTGTTTCCAGCTCACCTTTACTCCATCTCAGGGACAAAACATAAGGAAACACAATAGTGTAATACCGCCAATAGTAAAATCAAATGACCTTTATTTGAATGCCTTACATCAAAACAAGCCTTTGATGCAAGTAATCACTCATAATAGAAACCTCACAGCCTCACAGCCATCCAGGAAGAACGTCCAGTGTGCTCCAGATAATTCACTTCCCCTTTTCCAAAATGGCCGCCGGTCAACCTTCCTGGATTCCTGTGTGCGTCTTGACGTCACTTCCCTGCCAAAATGCCATTTCGATATACCGAATCCTTGTTATTTGTTCACTGATAACTCTGTACTATGTAATAGACACAACTCTGGATCCAATCCTATCTTTGTCCAGAGATCTGATCCAATTAATATGAACGCATTGTCTCCCAAAAACCTTGAAACTTTGGGGCACTCCATCCATATGTAATATAACGTACCTATTTTTCCACACCCCACACAACACTCTGGTGTATTCTCCCATTCAGCTTTGTATTCAATGTTCGGTGATGCAATGTGCCATCTTGTTAAAACACTTATAATTTACCTCTTACTCTCTAATGCTTATATTCTCGTGTGTTAGTCTATATATTTTCCTTTGTTGTCTTCATCTAATCTCTATTGCCAAATCCTTTCCCAATTTTACTATGTACATTGGCTTTGTGTGTGTGTCTAACCTCAGTGAGAAATCTTATTAACTTTTGCCATGCCCGTTTTTTTTTCCCATCTCCATGTGATTCCAACAACTCTCAAATAGATTCCAATCCTTTCTCAATCTCAAAGGTTTCGGCAAGATTCCGACAAAGTGTTTTAATTGGTGATTATCTCCCACTCGTCTACCTTAACCACTTGCCTACCAGGCACTTTATACCCCTTCCTTACCAGGCCAATTTTCAGCTTTCAGCGCTTGCCGCACTTTGATTGACAATTGCCTGCGGTCATGCAACATTGTACCCATATGAAATTTTGATCATTTTTTTCTCACAAATAGAGCTTTCTTTTGGTGGTATTTAATCACCACTGGGCACTTTACTTTTTGCGCTATAAGATAAAAAAAATTGCAAAAAAATTTGAAAAAAAAAAAGTTTATTTGTTTCTTTTATAAATTTTTTCAAACAGGTATTTTTTTTCTCCTTCACTGATGTGCGTTGGATGAGGCAGCACTGATGGGCACTGATAGGCGGGCAATGATGGGCACTGATAGGCAGCACTAAAGGGGCACTGATCGGCTAGTACTCTAATGAGGTGGCACGGATAGGCGGCATGATAGACAGCACTAATTAGGGGTCACGGATAGTGCGGCATCTGATAGACAGCACTAATTAGGGTCACGGATAGGCGGCACTGATATGCAGCACTGAATAAGGCTGGCACTGATAGGTGACACTGATTATGGAGTTACTGATAGCACGGCACTGACTGGATCACTGCTGGGCACTGACTGGCGGCACTGGACTGGCACAACCCCTGGGCACTCTGACTGGTGGCGTGCGCATGGCAACTGGCAGCAACTGCTGGGGTTGCAACTGGTGGGTGGCACTGGTGTGGCAGCACTGGTGGGTGGGAACAAGGTGGGTGGCACTGGTGGGCACAGGTGGGTGGCACTGTGAGCCACAAGGTGGGTGGGCACAGGTGGGTGGCACATGCTGGGCACATGTAGGTGCATTTCTGGGCACAGGTAGGTGGCACTTGCAGAGTGGCACAGGAGTGGTGCACTGCTGGGCACAGGTGGGGGCACATGCTGGGCACAGGTGGGGGCACTGCTGGGCACGGGTGGGTGGAGCTAGTGGGGTGCACTGCTGGGGGAACTTGCGGGTGTCACTGCTGGGCACCGATCATCAGGGACATGATCATCAGTGCCCTGATGAATCGGTGCCGATCCCGCTCTGACAACTGCCGGTTCTCGGCAGTACTTTCCTCACGATCTGACAGCGTGAGGAAAGTGCAGCCGAGAACCGGCACTTGCATTTCCCTGTGATCAGCCGTGTCATTGGACACCGCTGATCACGTGGTAATAAGGCCGCATGTGATTGGCCTTTTACCACATCACGTGATCAGCTGTGTACCGTAGGACACTGCGATCACGGGAGTTCGCAAGTGCGCACGCCCCCTGGGGCACGCAGGACAGCGCGTTCTGGGAGGACGTTCATATGACGTCCACCCAGAACTGGCCGGCCGCGGTGAAAGCCGTCATTCGGTCTATGCGCGGTCGGCATGAGGTTAATGAAAAGTTCCCTTTTGTCCTTTTTCCAAATCCTTAAGTGTTTTCAATTCCTGCCCTTTCCATAATATCCCTCAGTTGAATATCCTCTATTTATACCATTACATTTGCCTCTTTCAGGTCTCCTCCGTACCTGGAGGGAATTACTCGTGTTCCTTAGTGACATTAATTGTGAATGAAATCCAATTTTCTTAAGCTTGTGCAGTTTATCCCAAACCTTTAAAAAACTTTTAATGTATAACACTCGTGCTATCTTTTAATCCTCCTATATTGTGCTGGTACCCATATGATTTTACTCAAGTTAACTCAGCTTAATTCATTTTCAATCTTGACCTACGTCTCTTTTCCCTCTGGATTGTGTGTCCAGTCATAAATTCTTGCTAGAACTACTGCTCTATAATACCTCTTAAAATCT